CCAGCTGTTCTACTGACAAACATGAGACATGTCATAATGAATTTGGGGCGCCAGTTGAAGGTTTAACTGATCTAGATGGCAATTATTTCACTTTCAGAAGCAATGCTGCTGTAGTGGAGGAATCTCATGAACCTTCAGGAATTGAAAATGTGGATAGGGTATCTGATAAGCCTAAAGTAATTTTGTCGTTCTGCCTGGGACAAGAATATGTTGATTATCTGTTTTTGTTGACCTTTTTTTGACATCCTTTCTTATCCGGCTTTGTTGTACATTTTCTACTATAGGTGCGTATTGCAGATGATACATTTCATATCCCAAAGTCTTTTGGAAAATCAGAAATGTTGAAAGAAGATTTGAATCTCAGAAAAGTTGAGTATAGCAACCATGATGTGCTGGTGGAGAATGCTGATGATCTAGTGAGTGGAGCTGCTTCTACATCCAATCAGAGTGAGCCATTATTATTATGGATTGATGGCTACAAGTGTTCTCTGTGCGGGATGGAGCTGCCTCCTTATTTTGTTGAGGAAAGGCAAGAACATTCTGATTTCCATCTCGCCAAGAGACTTCAAATGGAAGAATCTGCCCCTCATTCTAGAGCTCCTCAGCTGAGACAAAGGTAAAAGCCCTTTAAGTTTCGATTGTTGTCCAAAGTAAGTTTGGGTTATGCTTAAGTTTCGATTCTTGTCCTGTTCAATTGTTTGAGACAATTCCTTGGATCCGGTTGGTTGTGCTCGGGGTCAGAATCATATTGGTTGATGTCCCTTGCTGGGGGTTTAGAACTGTGCTCCTGATTAGGTCAAGTATGCTCATGCTAGGATATGCGACCCACTTCAAGTGTATCATGCTGGGGGAATTAAATATGTAAAGGCATTTCGATTACTGCCAGAATTTTCTAAAAAATGAGTATTAATTTTAAACAGAAATGACCGGATCTATTATTTATCCTTTAGCAATAGTTCGTGGAAAATTCTGATACAGTTTATTTGGACCGACCTCATCTTAGGGCGCAGTACAAGGACACTATAGGTAGACAATTTCTCTGCTTCTGTAACTGATAAGGATTTCTGTCTCCAATCCAAATGCCACAAATAACAAAATGCAGAATGATAATGTATTTCATGATGCATGTGGAAGTGTCCCAACGTAGATAAACATTTTTGTATTTCACAATTCAAGGTGTCTGCAGATTTTACCCTTGCATATTTTTATCCTTGGACTCTGGTGTGTCATTAGCGGGTCATCTTACGAGGAGATCTAGTAGTCATATGTGTTTAATTAACTTTTGGTTTAATCCTCGTTGAATTCCTAGTCAAATATCAGTTTTAGTTTCCATATTAGCTTTGTTACGCACAATTAGAACGTAGTTTGAAATACCATCAATTTCGCTTTGATTTACGAAGGTCTTACCTTTATTTCATCAAAATTTCTTTGGCAGGTCTATTGAGATTGATACTGCTGCAAATCAAGGGAAACGGAAGAAGCAAAAGTCATCTTCAAGAGAATGCAGATATGTCCCAATCGATATGTTCTTTGTTAAAAGCAACCAAAACTTCTCGAACTGAAACTTGCATATTTATTTATTCTATGTATATAATTCTCCTATATTCTTTAGGCTGGGAAGATGCTCATAATGCATTACCTAATAGAATTGAACGTTTGGAATTTCAGTTACTTATTGCAGGATGTATATTATGAAATATTTAACTTGAATTTGTATATTTAATTTTTGTTCCCTACATATGTTTTTGAGAGTGCCCATTTGGTTCAAATGTAAGGCTCTTTCTTTCTGGTATGAATAAAAAAAATTATTTTTATTTTTTAAATTTATTTATAAAATTATATAAATTAATATAAATAAAAAAAAATGGAGACGACAATAAAAAATTATCTCTAATGTTTTCAAAATTAATTTTATTTATATTTTTATTGCTGTTTAAATATATATTAGAAAATAAAAATTAAAAAGTTATTTCCCAACTTACGGAAGCAAAGAGTGGGAGACACTTGCAAGGTGAATGGTTGATCAGATGTTCGCCACGTGTCAGGAAAAGAATCAACGATCATTGACCTTGCAATTTAGCTTCGGCATTTATAAATAAATAAATAAAAGAAAATCTTTAATGTCCGCCATAGAAGCAGCGAAAAATGCAGGTTACCTCTCTGATTCCATTTTGCAAATTACCTTACCCGAACCCGGAAATCCGACCTAAGACCATTATCACTTCGTCTTCAACATCGACCCACCAAACCCTAAACCCCCGGTTTAAAATCAACTCCTCGAATCCCGCCAGTGATGACTTGATAGACTCCATTGCATCTATGCCGTCCATGTCTGAGATACTAGCCTCGTCAAGGGCACAGAAGCTTGACCTCAAGCTCCAAACACTGGGACCTTTTTTCAGAATCACAGCCAAAAGCCTGGAGACCGAGGGTGAGCTCGGGCGGGCCGAGGGGGTTATCAGGGTTTGGTTCGGAGGTAAAATTCTACACTTGGATTCTATCAGATTGAGGAGAGAGACACTTGGGATGGAGAAATCTATATTCGGTATTGGTTTGTTTATTGGAGCTGTTGCTATTCGGTACGGGTATGACTGTGGATGCGGAAGGGCTGAGTTGCTTGCCGTTAATGATTCTGATCTTTACCACACCAAGGTATTTTCTCTTGTTCATTTTCTTTTGTTTAAAGTTGTGTGTTATTGATATGTTTGGAAATATCTTCTAGGATAATCTAGAAGTGCATTCCTAGTTCAATTAATTAGAGGATGGAAATTTCCTCCAAAGTGATAAAAACTGAGCTAATACAAAAAAATTTCAAGTGGAATTGGAATTTTGCTTTCTAAATTTCATACTGAAGTGTAAGTTTACACCGAAACTTCTTGCTTTGTTCCAAACATGGCCTAAATTATGTACTTCAAGTCATTATATTTTTATGAATGAGTTGAATTGGCAAATCTAGCATGTCACTAGGTAGATTGATTTTGCAATTTGATTTACCTTTTTCAAGGTTTTCAACTTAGTTTACATCCTTAAGAGTTCTATTCGTAACTTATCTTCAATCCTAAATGCCACAAAATATTGAGTTTGCTTTGAGTTATGATTTCATGAAACTGATGTGAAAATACAATACCAATATGACAAAGAAATTTGATTGAAAATAGCATTATCATTTCAAATGACTTCTATGTTCATGTCAATTTAGTTTTCTTAATAAGTGAGACCACAAAATTTATGATTGTAGAATTGAAGATTAGGAAAAAGTTAATTTAAATTTAACTATGTATCAAATATGTAAATTATGCTAATTTCTATATATAATAGCTAAAGTGTAGGAATTAGATTAGAATAGAATAGGTTTGAACTAGTATTATTACCTTAATGGACATGCATATAGTACTTGGTTTTATCCACTAGAATTATTAGTTGCTTTCTTTATCCGCTTTTTTGCTTTCTAATTGAGCAAAAGAAAAGAAAACCTGAGTTAAAGAATTCAGAATGCCAGGATTAGAGGGTTTGCTTTGGTTCTTATCACTAGGTAATCAGTTCCATGCTTTATTTCGATTGTGCTCGAACTCATAGTTTTGCTTTCTGTTATGCGTAGTTGAAAGTCACCATAAATACAAAAAATTGGTAAGCACATTTTGATCCCTGGATTGATTGGTTTCTTTAAGTAAGTTAAAATCATGGGCTAAGATTGTTAATAGAGCTATTTGCACAATTAGATGATGAATAGGACAATGATGTTTGATTAAATTTGATCAGAATCATAACAAGAGACCCACATACATAGCATTCCGGTAGAATTTTTCTTTCCGTTGACTTATTTTTAAATTTAATGATTAATTTGGTGAATTCTGAATTTGATTTTTTCTTGTCTTAGCTTGTTAGGTTTTACAAGAGAATCGGGTTCACACCTGTGCATGAAGTGACCGGTTCATCAATTGGAGACATGGCTCACATGTTGGTATGGGGAGGAATAGGGACACGAATGGATGCCAGTGTTGAAGAACTTCTCAAGAGATGGTGCAGTAGGTTCAAATCTCAGAAGTAATTGTTCTGCAATCTACAGAAAGAGAAGTTTGTGCTGGACACTCGATCAAGGTAGATTGATACTGTGGACTGAAAAGAATTGCTTTCTGGGTGAAAAAGCCAAGACAAAGAACTGAGAAATTATCTGAGAAGCAGGTGCTTAGTACTCAAGGCCAAGACTCTGACAAGCAGAAGCAGGTACTTGCTACCCGAGATAGAGAATTCTCTCATGAGCAGAATGTTACAACTCTAGGTCGAGGATTCTTTGACGTTCAGGTGCTTCTTTAAAACTGTGCTGTTTAACTGAGTAGGCATTTTATTAATTGGAGACATAATAACTAGAAACTAAGGATAAAAATTCAAAGCCATGACAATTCCTGGTATTTGTTGTAGGAAATTCTTGTTTCTGAATTAGCATCAGATCCGGATAGGTAACTGCAGATCATTGAAGCAATTAAGAGCCTCAGCCATTGAAGTGTGTTATAACTTGTAATCCCACTTTGCTAATAGATACATATTTTTAGACTTATGATTTGTGTCTATTACTTGTTGCAGTTATATTTTTATGAAGATGATATTTTCCAAAAATACATTTTTGTGATAAAAGCTTATAAAGGCATAAGCTTATACTTGAGTAACGTACGTAATAGAAAATTTATTAAGAACTGAAAATTAGGTATGTTAAATCTCAATAATCAAATCAATAACTCAACATCTGAGATATGTCTACTTTAATATCTTCTTGTTCTGCATCCATCATTGTATCCCACTTAATAAAATGTGAAACTAGAAAGAATATCTAAGTTTATGCAAATATACACTTGCAGTCATTTTGTTGTAATGATCAAGAAGGCCAAGAGGAGGAAGAATGCAAGTAAGGATAAAGACAAATATCATCTGGATTTGAACATTTATAATTAACCATTCGATTGTCAACTGAATATATATCATGATAGTGAAATTATCAAGATTTATTAACAAACAAAAATGACTAGCTTAATTATTTTAATGTTATAGAGTCGAACTATATTAAATATGTAAAATTTATTACTCTGCGAGTCTATTATAAATTGATATAATGTTTAATTCAGTAGCAGTAAAGACTTTAAATTACTATTTTTTTGTGAGTGAAGTTATACTGATTAAATTAAATTAAATTTTAATAAATTTATTATATTTTTTAATCAAAATAATATTAATATCACAATGAATTAAAAACTTGACCTATAATTTAAGAATGTGTGAGTTAAAAACTTGACTTATAATTTTTTATTTTCACCAAGAAGAAAATTTAATTAATTATTTATTTATTGGTTGAATGATTAATGTTTTCATTTTTTTTTTCTGTGAAGGTGTGTGTTCAATTATTTATACATTTAAATTATCATAAATTAATATGTTAATTAATAAAATTTATACATTTTTCTCTTAAAAAAATTACTTGCTCACGTTTAATTAAATCGATATTACATTATTCATTATCAATATGTTATATATATATATATATATAAATTATATGCAATAAATATTTTTATTTAAAATTAAGATTTGGAAAAAAAATTATTGATCAACTTTCAATGCGTAAATTATAAAAAGATGATTGCTTTTACTAATGTCTCTATTTAAATTCGAGCTAATAATGAGAGCAAATATAACACAAAGATGATCAAGGAGGTCGAGAGGATATAGTGGACGAAGAACAAGACAGATAATGAAAAGGACATCGTTGTTGAGAAACTCTAAATGTTTTCTTTGAAATGCAAAAAAAAAAAAAAATAGAATAAAATCCTCTAGTTATCGTCTGAAATCCAAAGAAGAAAGAAAGTTTTATGGATATTGAATTATTTTTGTTTCTATATGATTTTAGTTACGAACAAGAATTCCTTAGTCACCAAGATGAAGAAATTAAAGAAAGAATGAAAGAAAACTTTGTTGTTTTTACAATGATGATCAAAAAGGCCAAAAGGAAGAAGTAGAGGAAAAAGAAGGCAAGTAAGGGTAAGACTGACATCGTTTGAATTTGAATATTTATAACTAACCCTTCCATTATCAACAGAAAATATATCATGATGGTGAGATCAGCAATATTTGTTAACAAACAAAAATGATCAGCTTAACTATTAATCAACCACTAGTACTAATAAAATAATTTATCGGTTAAAATTTTTTTATTATGCTTCAATGTTACGAATTTAAATTGTATTAAATATGCAAAATTTTATTTTGAGAGTGTATTATAAATTAATATAATATTTAATTCATAAATAATAAAAATTTATATCACTAATTTATTGCATTTTTTAATCAAAAAAATAGTGTCTCGAGTGAAATTGCTTGCAGAAAAAGATGGTTGTTGAATTGAGGAGGGTCCCATCAGGCGTTAATGGACCTGAAGAGCACCGGCCCGTAATCCTTCCACTGAAGAGAGCGGGAGGTTTTTCGTTGCTCTGTTTCCAGCCTCACGAGGTCCCCTCCGCTCTAAGAGAGGCGGGCCTCAAAGCCTACGCTGAAGGGCACGCAGCTCAAACTCTCCTCTTGGAACGGGCGGATCAGATTTTAAACCCTTCTCGGAGCCCAACCTTCCGAACCTTTCCAACCTCCAACCATCTTAATGCCCCCACTTGAGTGACAAGCCCGCGTTGCCAGGCCCGGCGATCTCCAGCTGCTTATAGTGAATATATAGAGGCGAATTATATATTATAAATAAGCAATGTGGGAGTGAGACTTACATTTAAAAGTAGCTTCATAAATTTCGTGCCTCAGTGCTTGTTTTTCACTCTGCAAAAAGGTTCTTATGTGGGATAAGAGGTTTAGATATGGTTTGATTCAGTTGTTGACGAGAACTTTGATGATTCATGAACTTGTTCTGTCTTTTCTTATTGATATACGACGTATACATACACAACACAAACACATTTAAAATTTGAATATTTCAATGAATTCTTTTGAAAGAGAAAATAAAAGCTTTACTAGTTAATCAAAGAATGTAAGACAAAAAATTAGCTTTTATATAGCCCAACTTCTTTCTAACAATATACGAATGCAAATATAATTTATGCAAATATAAATGACGACAATTATAAACAAGCATAAGTGATGATCAACGTTAAAGCGTTACAAAAACTTCATTGTTTACATTTCTATTAAATTCTATGTTGGAATAGAGAATATATCAATTTCATTTTCAATATATCTTTAAGATCACATGCTAGTCGAATGGGCATCGATTCATTAAACAAGCATGTTGTTTGTTATATAGATTTAAATAAGTTAATACACTACAACTTGAATTTAAACTTTTAATAACAATATTCTAGTTTTAATTAAAAAGTTCTCTGCTTGTGTACGCGTGTATATATAAATTTAGTTATGAGATTGAAGACGTTGAAAACACACACATAAATTTAAACCAACAGTCGCCATCCTGACCTCACTGGTAAGGGATAGTGTCATTTGAAAACTTAAATTATGAGTTGGTGGGGTGCGCCGGGTCCTTGCAGTAGTGCAACGCATGGACGACGCTTGAAGAACCCAATAGCAAGCTATTGCAGCGACTCTTCCCCCTCAAAAAACTAATTTAATATCATGTGAGTCAATGACTCACGTATCAGATATTAAACTGATAAGAACAGATACTACACTTGATCTTAGCCAAAAGGCCGAGAAAGGTATGACTTCTTCCTCGCCCCCAGCTCTCTTTTTGTAGTACCCTTTTAGCATCTCCAGCATCTCTCCCAGCCAATGTGGGACAAAAGCACCCACTGTCATTACTCTTCAAATATCTTTATTCATTTTTTGAACTCCACCCACTTACAATACTCTCCACCTCTGCACATGACCCACCCGCCCACACATTAATTTATATTAATGTATTCATCAAGTTTAAATACCACAAAAAGTAAATGGAATTAACACATCACATGAGACATAAATATTTACTTTACTTCATTAAAAGAAATTCAATTTATTAAATCTCTTCTAATTTAGACATATATACATATATGGTAAAGATATATACAATTTATATATGATAAGCTATTATTAAGCTCACATATACGGAATAAAACTTATGAACATGATTGTCAAAACCAAAAATGCATGCATCTCTATATCTATACACACGCAAAAATTGATCAACACGATAATAATCTCAATATTTATGAGAAATTAACGACGAAAAGAACACACGAAACCAATAATTTTATTTCGTTTGATAAATTAATCAAAACTCTTTATTAATTCTAGATTAAAAGGTTCTTATTAATTAAAAATAGAAATTCAATTATGTAACACATTGCTCGAGTATATGATTATTATTAATATACAAATAATTATATGTATTTTTGAATATAACTTTAAGTTTTATCATATTTATCACAAATATAGTATATCGTTATGGAATTTAATTAAATATAAAATGTAATAATACAAGATATTTTATCAAGAGAAATTTTAACCTTTGGAAGCCCAACCTACTCAAATAAATTAATTGCCAACTAGTTTGTGTCCCTATTTGATAACGAACTACTTTTTCTTAACCAATAAACGATGTGAGATACAGAGTTACATTCACGTTGATGAAGTTGTACCTTTGTAAATTTCGCATTTTAAGTGCTGGTTTTTTACTCTGCCATAATGTTTTACGTGGACTATCATAGTTTTGATATGATCATTTTTTTTTTATGAGAAGGCCTGATGATTTATGGTGGGGAGGCGCGGAGAGTAGGTATTTTCATGTTCATTAAATTTATAATACATAGATATACTTTACTTTACTTTACAACACAATATTTAATACGTTCATACCAAATACTTTAAGCAAACTTCAACCTCGTGTTGAAGAATCCGACAGCATGCTATTGTAGTGGCTCTTCCACCCTAAAAAACTCAGCTTAGTAGCATGCGATCCAACGACTCACGCATCAAATAATAAGTTGATAATAACAGATTCCATAATTGATCTTCGCCAAGAGGTCGAGTGAAATTCTTCTGAGCCGTCTTCCGATTCAATGTTGAAATTCGTACATTTTATTGTTGCTCTCACTAGATTTCAATATGGAATGAATAACGTAATATAATCATTTTTTTATACAAGAAAAAAATAATAAAAAATAACAAAAATAATCAGATATGACCATTACATAATCTGAGCCAAAAAACATCGAGTGTTCTGAAACATGACGATGTTGGTGCTTCCCCAAGAGAAATGGCTGAAAAGTTGATTTCTTACTTGGAGTAGAAAGGGTACTTGCACGCATAAGAAACTGGTGACGGTATCTGGATTTCCTTCAATTCTACAACTAATTAACCATAATGGAGGAGACCACTGGTTTCTTTGAATGCATGTTTCGGTATCATTAGCTTTCAGGATTATATGTGAAATGATTAGAGTATTAACTAGCCTACTCTTCATTCTCTTATCATTTCTTTGTTTCTATGATTTGTATGCATAGTAGAGATTTGTTTGGTCCCCCTTCCGCCCATCCTTCATGTTACAGCAAGAAAGTGCATGTGTATCTCCACTCCCAGTCGAATATTTTCTTTTTTGCTTCCATCTGAATCTCGAAAAATGCTATTATACCTC